AGCGATTGCACTTCTATGGATGGATGGATGGAGTGCATGCAAGCTCACTGTGCGTCGCGCACATTCAAAAATGTCTAGAAACGTCAGAGTTTGAATTCACCTTGCAACCGGCCAATTTGAAATCCTTTCATTTACACTTTTTTCGTCAGTTCAAGCAGCAGCAGCAACAGCTGTGTGGCTGTCTTTGTTTTTTTTTTTTTTTGCTGATTACTCATTTTGATGCCAAGTTGTGAAGAGCAGTTATATGTGATGGTATTAAATTCAAAAAAAAAAAAAAAAAATATAAAAAAAATAGAAATAAAAAAATTAAAAAAAAAATAAATAATTTATTGTAACAACTTGTAAGCCGCCGCAAATATGTATGTGAGAATGTGTTGCCCAACAGCTGGAGAACAATAAATCAAGCGAACTAAATGAATTGCTCGCTGACTATTGTCGGAACCACCAAATGGCTGTGACAGACAGACTCACTGGCTCATAGAAACTGCGCCGAACACAGAAAAAAAAAAAATTTACACGGATTTGCGACATTCAAGCAGCAAGCGCCTTGTAACCATCATCATTACAAGCAAATTCGTACTTATATTGTAAATTTGGTAGGTAGGTATGTAGGTAGGCAGCATAAGCCACAGTTTGAGCAGTAAAGGTAGAGGCGGACGAGATAGACACGCGATTGCAAACGTTGACTCTGTGGCGACTGTGGCTTAAAGACGTTTTATACCTACATTCACCGCATGTGTGTAGTCCCACATTCTCTTAGTGAGCATCATGCGACGCAACGCACAGAAATATGTATGTATATAAGGGGCCACTAGCTGTGAGCTTCTCTTAAAGTGTGAGTATGTGCAATCAGATTGCATTATGCAGTCTCGTTGCCGTTTTTATTGCGGCATAATAGACAGCACTTTGAACACGTACAGCTGCTTACATACATACTCGTATATGCATTTGTATTAACAGCTATTTATAAAAGTATGTTGTGTGCACACGTCGGATGACCTTGTGTTTGATGGCTAGATGTCTTTGCCCCCGTCACCGTCATCGTCACAGTTATCATCGACACTGGCACATCAGCGGCACTTACGCGAGAGCATCGTCCCATATACGGAAAAAGAATATATGTATGTACATACATACGAATATGTAAGTGTTATAAAATGAAAGGGAAAAAGAATTGAAAAAAATATATTGAAAATTTGCTAAGAGTGACTTGAATTTTAGAAAAATTTATCGAAAAGATTAGTAAAATTTCGCATGCGAAACACATTTCCACGCCGAAAAGAACACTTTCAAAATACGAAATTTGATTTTCAGGCATCAAAAAACAGGGTTTATTAAGAGGTGTTATTTTAATATTGAAAGAAAAATTCCATTTTGTGAGAAAAATGATGGGATGTATATATCAATGGCTACCAAGGCTGTGCGGTCCTTCAAGGGTCGATGGTTTCATTGTTGGTGGGGCACGTAGCGCCGTCTAGTTGAAAGTAAACGTTATTCAGATCAGTACCATTCAATTCTGGTCATAAAAAATCGATAATAACCATTCAACATAACTGTTACTCTAGCCTTATTTTCGAAAAAAGGAAAGTCCAATGACGCCCAGATGTGACAGTTCCCCTTATTGACGTAGCCATCGAGGAGGAAATGGGTCTCATTTGTCCATATGATTTTTCGATGAAATTCCTGGTCATTTTCATGCATTTCAAGAACCTCATCAGCAAAAATATTATGTTGTTGATTATCGGCCGGCTTGAGTTCTAATGCTAACTAAAATATGAATAAGCCTTAAGACCCAAGTCTTTATGCAAAATACGGCACAATGACGTTTGTGGAATGCTCCATTCCAAAGAACGGCAAGGAATTTATAAATAAATCTGGGTGTTCTTGAGCGTTGTTGGCCACAGCAGCTATATTCTCTTCGACGACAGCAAAAGGTTCTTACTGGCGTATTTTTGAAATATCAAAAAATTACAGCTTCAAAAGTGACATCTTCCGATATAGCAAACTATTCAAAATAACACCTCTTATTGGAAAACCACTTATTAGCGAGTTTGAGTTTGGCATTCCAGTGGAAAGTGGTTGCTGCTAAATAGTGCTCCACGGTGTGAAAGGCCGATCGTGGAAAGTGTCGATAAAAAAAAATAGAAATCGTCAAGTCTGACCATCATGCGAGCACTGCTTCGATAGATCAGGGGCTAAACATTGTACAAAACAGTTTGGAACCACTAGAAAAAGACTAGAAACACAGAGAAGCTCGATGGATAACTTACAGCAACGTCAAACGAAAACGGTCGTAGTCGATGGAAAGTGAGCCGGCACAAATGGACTTCAAGCTTGAGTGACAGTTAGAAAGGTTTTTCATCGTGTTTTTGGTAAGATAGGCAAGGAATCAACCACTATTAGCTACTCTCCTACGGCCAAACTCTTAATTCGGATCTGTACCCCTCAGCAATTGGACCGTCTGAATGGAAGCGAATACTCAGAAACGTCCAGCTTTGGCCAACTTGCCAAAAGTTCCAGGAACTTGGTTGGGAGATTCGGATGCATCCAATTTATAGTCTGTACCTCGCATCAACTGATTACCAACTGTTCCTGTCTATGGTGAAGAATTAGCCTCAACAGAAGCCTCTAAACATAGATTGCCTCAATTATTTGCATATAGGAGCCAGGATTATGTCAAAAAGTTATGGTGGAAAACGGTGCAATTTTGATATAATTCGCATAATTCTAACTATGGGAAATAAGGCCATTAATTTAATGTCAAAATAATGGATAACTTTTCACTTGACTGAACAACGGTTGCTTGCATGTTTGTTTTCTGTGAATCCCGAAACTATATGATTCCTGGAAAAGTTTGTACGCAAATTTTTTTTCGGTTATTGGACCGGGTCCGAAATATTCAAAGAAATCGTATTTATGATGCGACTCTTCCTCTTGCCCTTCTTCCACCGACGGGAATCGTATCGAAAACTAACTTTCAACGCTGAAGTGTTCTTATTCATGCGGACCACATGACCTAGTCAGAGTAGTGGCTGTTTCTTGATTCGCTGAACCATTGCAGTTACCCGTACGAATATTTCTCGTACAACTCACGGTATTGGCTTATGCCAACGCGCAGAGAACTATTAGTCTTACACATGCTAAGCTCTAAAACCCACAACGCCGCCTCCGCACTATATAGCAGGACGGGAATGATGAGCGACTTGTAGAGTTCGGCCTTCGCTCGTCGAGAAAGGACTTTACTTTTTAAATTGCTACTCGGTTTAAAGTAGCTCATATCCGAGTACAGCGGCGTAGAGGTCTGCCATTCAGCACACTGAAGAAACGATCCCTTTCCTTCACTTCCCTTTCCGGTCGAATGCAATCAAACATCATAAAATAATTAATATACCAAAAAATGCAATAAGCCAAAGAACTAGATATTGAATTGCTCTAGAAATTAATTACCAAAATTATTAAATGAAAATTTAATATAAATTATAACTCAAATCGTTAATTAATTTAATGGCGCCATAAAAATACCGAATTTAATATAAGTACTTCCTGACACAAATGAATGCCGATTAAAATATGATTATTTATTTTTAATAGACAAAAAAAAAATTCAAAGATTACATAAGTAACCAGCAATATGCAACAGCTGCACTTTATGTTGTAGTTTATTTAGTATGTGACTATGTATATGTGTGTATTTGCTCATGTGCGAAAATATACACAGCTCATTCCCAGAATTAAGTCACAAATTAAACAAAATACTAGTAAATACAAAGCCAATAACTAAGCAACAAATTTGGAGGCACGGCCGTAGACAGAGCTAGACAGAGCATGCAGACAGACGCAGTCGCAGTCGACATCTTAACGACAAGCATAAAAGCCATAATGAAAGAATTATAAATAATATAACCAAAGCAAAACAAAAAAAAAATAAATAAATATAAAATATTAACGAATATAATAAATATTATGTACAGTGAACAAAAAAAAAACGCTTTAAATTCGAGGATTTTAACTAAAGCGTATATATTTTATTTTCGACGATCGACGAACCAATAAACCAGCCCAAAAAACTCGACTCATTTTGCTTTGGGCATTTGGGCACAAAAGTAGCAGTAAGTAGAAAGCAGCAAACAGCAAGCAGCCACCAGCTAACAGCCAACAATAAATAGTGATCAGCGATCGGTAGGCATAGAGAAGCAGCAATGAATAGGTAAAGCAGGCTGGCAGGCAGGCAGAGGAGTGGCAGCTACAAAAATAATATTGTAGTTTGGTGGTAGTGGGTAAGTAGTACTCGTACTTCATTTAGCGGGCTGACTCACAACCGGAGGCCGATGTTGCTGCTGCTGCCGTTGTGCTTGTCTCATGGTTACTGCTCAGTGCATGCAATGAGTTTTTGGGGCTGTAACAAAGTTTCGAATTCGGTTTCGATTGATTTTACGCGAATTAAAAAGCTTTTTTCCTTTAGGTGGATAAAGCGTTTGTAGTGTGCCTGAAGTTGTCTGCTTTGCACATCAATGGTATTACATCTCTGACAAAGAGAGATAAATTTGAATTTTGTTCTTAAACATTGACTATGAATAGATCTCTTAGAAATCTATCTTAAAATCTGTGGTTTCAAGTTGATTGATCATTGAGAAGCACAGTATGAGTAGTGGTTATTAAGCGGTTCCCTCCAATGATTTCATTGGCATGAAGAGAATCGTACGAGTAATCAATGCCGAAAAGTATGAAATTCACTACGGCAAGTTAGTTAGCACATCGTATATCGGACGGTCCCGAAGAGGCAAAACTGTGGTGAAGTTCCGAATGATCGATAATACTTATTTTTGTTTTTTCTTAATTTTAAACTTTGAATGAGTACTTCCGTTAGATCTCTAGTATACAGTATACTGGTTGTAGTAAAGTGGCAACAATTGCACGCGCACAAACACACACACACACACGCATACATCAATTAGGTGAGACTGTGTATTGTTTAGCGCTTAAAACTTTTCAAGTGGAGAATTCAGTTTGAGAATGACAGTCGTTGGGGTTTGAACGGCAAACCGGAGAGATATTTGAGTTAACGAATTCGGTACGGCCAAAATAAAAATGATTTAAATTAATATGAATTAAACAAAAAATTGTTTTTAAATTTAATATAAAAATCATATATATAGGTTTGAAATTGTTAAAAAAAATTAAGTTTGTGAGCAATTTCATGCCTTTTTTTGTCTATAGGAAATATTTTCCCAAAGATTTTTCGCTTATTTGACCTAAAATTTTAAAAAGGCGTTGCGTACGTGAAGTATTGTCCATTGGAAACACGCATGCGCGCAACTCTGTTAAGCGGGTCTAACTCGAATTCGCTCGCCATGTGGGGATAAACGCGGAAAACTGGGCGCCTGCTTGTTCGCAAATTTACAACGAAAATGTACAAATATTAAGCAATCGTAAATTCTCTGCTACAAGGAATTTACGTAACTCATAAGCAAACGCATTTTTCTAATGCGGTCATTTAACTGTATTTTTAGCAAACAAATAAAGTAAAAAGTGGTTACATGCTTTAAAATTAGCAAGGAAAGTGGAAAATTTAAAATATTTGTAAGAATAGCAGAAAATATTGAAAACTATAGTATGAAAAATAAAAAACAAATACAATAAATTATTATAAGAAATTCCAAAAAAAAAAAATAAAAGGAAAAAATAAACGAATAAAAAAATTAATTAAAAATAAAATAAAATAAAGTAGAATAAAATTTAAAATAGTGTATTTAATTCACAAATAAAAGAAAAAAATAAAATAAAAATGAAATAAATATTAATTTGAAATTTAATTAAGTTAAAAAAATTTTAAATGAAATTACAAACGAAACCAATTAAGATTAAGAATACATAAATGAAAAAGAATAAATTAATAAGAATATTTAAAAATGAAAATAAGCAAAAAATATATATTAATTAAATAGTTTAAAAAATTATGTACATTATAAAATTTATTAATATTTTTTTTTAAATTAATTTTAGTAAGAAGAATTTAATAAAATATTTAAAAATAAAGAATATCCAAAAAAATTTTTGAAATTATAAAATTTATTATAAAATAATAATTTAATAATGCCCATGCGCCTGCGCCTGCGCACCGCATGTATTATTAAAATACATGGTGAGCATGCACAAATCCCATCCATTGCTACGTAAAAATCATAGATTGCAGCAGGCGGCAAAGCCAGTTCGTGACATGAGTTTGTTGTTGCTTTTTAGCTGCCTTAATGAGCGTGTGACTTTTGTTTTTCATTTACTATATTTTCTGCAAATTCGCAATTAGCAAAGAAAATGTGTTTCGGTCTGTTTTTATTTTTTAATTTTATTTTATTTTTTGCTGTGCCCGAATAAAGGCAATAATTGCCAGTTGAAAGAAAAAAAAACTTATGATTGTGAAAATTTTTGGTAACTGTAAATACGATTCGATTCATGTTATTGCAAGCACTAAAACTGTGTGTAAGTCTCAAAAACACAATGTTGTTGGAGTAATTAAAAAATAAATGCAAAAAGTAAAACAAAATAAAAATAAATATTATAAAACACCGTTAGACAACCTTTGAAACTTGAGATCTCATACAGTTGCACTACATTCGCTTTCGCGCTTTATGAGCTGCCATTGAAAATGATAGCTCAAGGGTTTTTATCTGAATGGTACATTAATGATAGACGAAAAAAATGAAGTCAATGTAAAAAATACCTAAAAATAAAATTTAGAGGAAAAATAATTAAAGAGAAAAAAAGGATTGAGAACAAAATCATAAAACAAAATGAAATTTAGTAAAATAAAATTATATAAACAAAAAATTATTAGAAATTAAAAGATATTAATAAAATTAAATTAAATCATAATAAAATAAAAAGAAGTAAAATAAAATAAAGTTAAATAAACAAAAACTTAAATTAAAATAAACGAAATAAAACAAAATGAAATAAGCAAAAAAAAAAAAATAATAAACAGGTCATTAATACAAAAATTAACAAAATAAAATAAAGTAAGACTAAATTAAAATAAATTAGGTAAAATATACTAATATAAAACAAAATAAAATAAAATAATGTAAAACAAAATTAAAAACAAAAATTAAATAAAATTAAATATTTATATTTAATAACATTTCTATCATTATTAGAGTAATAAAAATATATAAATGAAATTAAAATAAATCATAAAAAAATAAAATAAAGTAAAATAAAATAAAATAATATGAAGTAAATAATATTGTATAATAAAATCCCATAACACAAAATTTATATTATTAAAAAAATGAAACAAAAAAAATTCAAAAACAAAAAAAATATCAAATAATATAATATTGAGTAAAAGATATGAAATAAATTTAAATAAAATCAAACAGAGTTAATAAAATGAAAAAATTAAAAATGTTAAAAAACAAAAATTAATATATTTTAAATAAAATAAATAAGAGCAAATAAAGTAAAAAAAAAATAAAATAATAATTAATTAAACTAAATAAGATTAAAGAGAGTAATTGAAATAATATAAAAATAAAATGAAAAAAGAAATAATAATATCAAACATTAAATTAATAGAACGTAATTAAATACAAAACTAAATAAAATATAAGAAATAAAATACAAAAAAATAAAACTAAATAATATAAAATGTTATTTGATTATTATTTTAATGAAATCATCAAAACAAAAATAAATTAAACTAATAAACAAATATTTTTTTAAAAAATGTTATACATAAATATAATATATATGTATAATTGGCACTTTGTAACCGCTGAAGCGATTTTCGGCCGAGCTCCTGCTCCCATTTGTGGCTTTGCGTATTGATGTTACTAAGCCGCCTCCGAACGGCTAATGGTCTTTTAAGAGGAGCCTTTATTTCATGTCAGAAATACACCCGGAGGCGTTGACATTCCCTGCCGAGGGGCAACCGCAATTAGAACATTTAACCTAATTCCTTATTCAAATAAATATTCTATAACTTTTTGCATGCTTTTGGTTGCCCACCGAATGGTGGGCCACTCGGTTACCGTGGCCGCCAAAAATGTTATACAATAAACATTAAAAAAAATATATATAAATTAATTAAATAACGAAATATAAAGTTCAGTAGCACATATTGGGAACAGATTCAAAAATATTATAAAAAAAAAAAATAAAAAAATTAACGTCAAAAATGCGCTGCTATTCACAAATACATATTTTCTCTGATAATAACAGATTTAATGTCTTTTAGTAATTTTGTGACCAAAATTTTGATCACAAGAATTGCTTTAAGGTGGAACTTCCGGTTAGGTAGCTTCTCTATAGATCTTAATTAAAAACGCCAAAAAGGATCAAATTTGATTCAATTTCGAAATGCGTTGTTCTACTTAGAAAAGCTATTTTACGATGAATATGGAAACAAAAAACTTACAAAAAAAATATTAAAATAAAAATAATATTTATAAAAAAATTCCATTCAAATTTACAATCAAAATTTAACTGCCAAAATGTATAGAATAAAACAAAACAGACATTAATACCAGCAAGCAAAACAAATTTACATTGTAACAATAAAAATTGTCGCTCATTTTGGAAATAAAAACAACAACAACAAGTGCAGTGCTCTACCCACAACTTTTATTATAACAACAAGCAACATAATTCACAGTTAAAAAAAAAAAGAAACCGACTAAAGTGTGTGTGCCACAACAACAACATACAAAAGTAAACAAGTGAAATAACGTGAAACCTGTTCGCATTGCAAATACAAGTACATACATACATATGTACGAATATATGCATGCAAACAGCTGCGCATGCGCAACGCTTCTGTAATTGGCGACAAGAAGCAGCAATAAAAATTGCGTCGACGCCAGCAACAACCTCAACCAACATTCGTGTCACCTCGCAGCAAATAGCCGCGCGTTACCCCCCCTTGTCGTTGTTGCTGTATTATAGAGTGGGCATGTTTTGCGGTCTTTTTTGTGTTTTTTTTTCCTTCGAATAAAAAAAATATCGCCTGTGAATGTGATTTTCGCGCACGTGTTTGTATGTATATATGTATGTGTGTGCCAAAGTAAATTTTGTGGAATTGTGTCCTACCTCAACACACACACACACATCTATATATATGCATTGATTGCTTTCAGCTATAACGACAACAAGAACAAAAACAATAATTACAGTGCAACAGCCACTAGTAAAAGCAGTAAAATATCACGTCTGACCACAACCCGAATATTGCATAACTTTTCAAGTATTGTTCACATAAAAACAATCATACAAGCACACATACATACGTGTATGTACATATTTGTACGTTTTCTTCTTTTTAGGTTTGTTTCCCATTGTGTTCACTTGTGTCCACTTAAATTTGTCACCCGTTCGATATACATACATATGTGAATGTAATTGTGTCACATTAACCTAATTCTCTGACTTTCTTTACATTGTAAAAAATACAAAACAAAAACAAAAGTTCACACGAATATATACAAGCTAAATACAATTGACGTTTATTTTATTGTCTGCGATTCGAGTTTCATTTACGGCCGATTAATTTGCTAATTTGCTTATTTTTATTGTATTGACCAATAAGTTATTTCTGTGTTTTGCGCATTGTGGTGACCGGCAAATATATTTTGTTTCTTTTGAAGGCATTTCGAGTAAGAAAAGTGATACGAAAAAACTATGGAAATGTACAAAATTACCGCTATATTGTTGATCCTATTCGGATATTTACTCATCACAGGTGAGTTTTGAATGGACACCACATTTGTATAAGTAAAAATAATTTTGAATATTTTAATATTTAATTAGATATTTATATCGAGATATATGTTATTTATTTAGTTTTTAGTTTATATTTTTTTTTAATCTATAATTATTTAAGTTTTATATTTTTTGTTAATTGTATATATTTATTTTTAATGCAATATTTTTTATTAATTAGTTTTTTAATTTTATAATTTGTATTTAATTTAATATATTTTTTTAATTTTATAAATAATATCACATAAAAAAAGTTAATAGAATTAAGTATTAAGGGTGTAATTGCAATGCACAAAGTATAGAACAATATCAAATTTAACCCAATAAAATATTAAAAATAAAAATTAAATTAAATTGAAACCAATGAAAAATTAAATAAAATGAAATAAATAAAGGAGCAGAAAATGATAAAACAAATTAAATTTAATAAAATAAAGTAAAAGTAAATTAAAACAAATTAAAAAAGAATAAAATATAAAATAAAATGATATTAGCCTAAATAAAATAATATGAAACAAAATATCAAATAATATTAAATTAAAAAAAAAAATTAAAAAAAACATAAAAAATAAAAAGATAAATAAAAAAAAATTAAATAAAATACAATAATGTAAATTATACAAACTAAAATAACGTAAAATAAAATTATTGTTAATTAAACTAATATAATATAAAATTAAATTAAAATAAATCAATCAAAAAAAATAATATAAATAAATAAATAAATAAATAAATAAATAAATAAATAAATAAATAAATAAATAAATAAATAAATAAAATAAGAGGTATAAAATAAATAAAGAAGAATTAAATCATAAAACAAGAAAAAATTAATAAAATAAAATAACATGGAATAAACAAAAATTAAATTAATATAACCATTTTTTTAAATATATAATACTATATAACATTAAATAAAATAAATTTAGCAAAAAAAAAAAAATATAAAACAAAATATTAAAAAAAAAAAAAAATCCAAACCATTCCATGTAGAGTCGTTTAGATTACTCATACGCCCCGACATACCGAAAACAGAATACAAACTAATAAGGAAAAAAATTTTTTAATTAATAATTAATATTATATAATATAAATATTTGTATTGGGTATACATGCACCTGAAGTATTATAAAATTTCAGTTACTCGCAATGTTGACTTTATCAGTGAAAGCCAGGCGTGTTTTTATCAGCTGAGGAGCAAATCATTCACATCAAATTTTACGTCCTTCTCTTCTGTCGGGGAGTTGAAAAATATCGCTTTGATTCGGATTATTTCGAAACCTTCATCAATTGGAATGAATGTCAATACTCGGTGACGGAGTCTATCTTACCACAAATCTGACATAAAATTTGCCTTCTTTACCTTCTTCCGTCCTTGTACCGACCATAGCACTTGTTGGATGGCGGTGTAGCCTTACGAGGGCATCAACTAGCAACCATCACCATACCAAGTAAGAGGTAGGATATTCCAGCCGTATGCCTTCAACTCGTGTATCTTAAAACGTTTTTGGGGTCAGCATCAAAAGAGCGTCTCTCAACCGAGGCTTTGTTTGATTTTTCAATGGAGTATGTTTTCACTGCAGAGAATGTGTGTATTTCTGACATGAAATAAAGGCCTCTCATAAAAATCCATCAGCCGTTCGGAGGTCCGTAGGTGCCTCTATTTGTTGGAAAAAATCACGACGCAAATCACAAAATTTCAAGAGCAGCTAGTTATATTATATAGGAAGAGAATTCGTCTTCTCACTTTAGCTCGCCTCCAGACGGATGTTTGTTGAGTGAACATCCACGCATGGCGTCATCCTTAAATGGGCGGACAGACAGCCACAGCTAAATGAATGCATCTGTTTCTTCCATGACATTTGATATAAGTATGTTGACATCTATCTCGATTATTTTATGTTGTCTCTCTTCAAAGTCCAGTCGACTATAACAACGGTGAAGTTATTGTGGGACTACTAATTCTCGATCATTGCTTTGAATAGCGATTGCAAAATCTAACTGCACACCGAAAAATTGTTTTTCGATTACACAAAAAAAATTTAATGAAAAAGTTTAGCCAAATTCGAGTTACTTATTTTTAGCTTCTTTTTATTTAAAACAACGAAATTAAAAAAAAATATTCCTTCAGTAAAAAAGAATCAACCATATAAAAAATTCAATTACCACCAAATTACCTCATTCATCTGAAGTGGCAAAAAAAGAGCGCATTCTCATTAGTATAAATCACGTCGCTGGCGTACATATTCCAAACATGCCTACTATTTAAACTCCCCTGTGGAGTTACATAAAGGCAAGTATCATAAATGGAGATGGTATGACCTGCGAAAATGTACACTTGGCTATTTTATGTGCGAAAAAGCGTGAGGAGTTGCAGTCATACGTAATACACACAAGACAAAAATAATGTGAAAAGAACTACAAATATTTCAAAATGAATGATGATGATGAAGAAGACGAAGAAACTACGTATGAAATGTCGCAACGTCACACAGCACAAAGTTAACAAACCACCAGCTGCCAGCCGTGATTGCTATAATGTTTAAGTTAATATTAATAATGCCACTTAGTAAGTAGTTTCGCTTAAAAAAAAAAGAAATTACTGAAAGTGGTTAGAAAGTGCAATTGCAACTGTAAGCGGCCGATTGAAAATATATCCGCATTCGTGTTGGCCGGCGCGTAAACAAGTCGTCAACTGCCACCGTCGCCGCTGTCGCTTGCTACTAGCTTCTTGCCTGCCTTATGGCTCATCGCCACCCAATAAGCCTTGATAAATTGCTTCTTCAACGTTTGAGAAATTTTGTAATACTCAAGGGGACCGTAATAGTCGAGTGGTTTGAATTGCGTATTAACATTCGGTAGGCCAGAAGGTTCGAGTTGTGGTCCCATCAAAACCCACGATTGCAGATACTCAATTGCTCTAATTGCAGGCAATGTCAAGTCCTTCGAGTGTATTTCTGTCATGAAATGTAAGCTCGTCGGAGGGATCTCCATTTTTGGGAAAAACAAAGATGGCTTTCACAACAGATACCTAAGCAGCTTTGAAATCCTTTAAGATCTTTCATGGTCCCATCAAATACAGTAAAAGAATATCTCAATTTGTTAGTAGGACCTTTACTCTAGGGAACTGAGAAACAGAATTAGCTGGATTAAGCACTACTTTACAACCAGCATCACGTAAAGAGGAAACTCAATAAATAGGGTCAGAATTGAACCTAAGGGCACATACCTACCACACACCTAGCACACCTTTCGCTAATTCTTCGGTCTTTTTTCTTCAATGACTTCTCTTAGTAATAGAAACATCGTAAAACAGTGTGATTTTGATAATCCATCAATAAAATTCCTACCGAGTCCCAAAAAACCGTTGCTATGAGCTTCCCTGCTGACTGTGAAATCTTAAACTTTTTGGGAGGTATTTTTTTTTAAACAATCAGGATTTATTTATTGAATCTGCTTCAACATTGGAAGCCTAACAATGAGTAATAAAATCTTAAACTAAATTAAAACATAAAACCCATTAACAGGAATCGGCTGCTGGCTTGACGCTGCTCTTTAGAAGGCTGCTTTATCTTGTCTTCTGCAGGCGGGTTTGGCTTCTTGTATGGGTCAAGGTGTAAGCCAAAGGGTTCGGATGATTATACAGTATTATTAAGTATTGTATGTATGTACTGCAATTTCAATCTCTTCTTTGATGGAAAATATATATATTATATATATTGCTGCGCCTTTTTTTATGCCATCGCAATGAGTCTTGTTTCGACTCATGTTCACAATGATAAACCCAAGTTTCATCTCTTCATTACACAGGTTCAAAAATGCTCATTAACAATGTATGCGTTGTTGTTTTTACGGAGCAAAGAGCGCTTTGTATCCGCTGAAACGATTTTGTGGTTTTGCGTCTTGATGTTTTTCGAACAAATGAAGGGACCTATAGTTTACAATAATAAGGCTTCGAATGGTTGATGGTTTTTATACGAGGAGCCTGGACATACCTTGTCGAAGGGAAAATTTAATTTAATTTTTATTTTTTATTATTTTTTGTTTAAATTAATTTTTCATAACATTTGGATGTTGGTAGCACGGGGAAATGGACCCGAGCCTTCTATATGTGAGTAAGCAATGCTAACCAACTCGGCTATCGCGATCGTACAGGTATTCAAAAGTGATTGTATCCAATACTTCATCACTTAAGACGTGAGTAGAACTTCGATTCTCAAGCTAAACTCAAACCTAAAAGCTTATTGGGTTACTTCAGCTGTTGCTCATCAATAGATTTTGTATAATTTATTAAATTATGCAAAACTACAAATGCAATTATTCGCATAATTATTTTAATTAAAAGCATCGGGCATTGCGGCATGCGCAGACCTAAGATAACACGGTCTCGAAAGCGTATAAGTCGTAAACAAAAACAAGAAAGATGTGCTGTCTTCTATAGGATATGCCGAAGCCTTTATACCAACCATAAGCATTATAATCGGTTGTAGGTGGTATGTTGATATTGTCTTCCGATCTCGATGTTTTTAGTGTCAATAATACTAAATTTGATAGTGATTTTGTGATAAGTTCTTGGCCCAAAATTACATATCAGAACAAATCGGTTGTATGGGGACTATATATTTTGGTAGCCGGATTTCAATGATTTTCAGTACCAATGATTTATTCATTACTTAAGTTTAGCATAACTATTTTCATGCTTTTCTGACGGATCTTTTCCGAAAAATGATGAAACACACGCATGGTCAGTTAGACAGACGAACACGGCTACATAAAGTGCGATTGTCATTCCAATCGTATCGGCATAAACTTTGATGGGTCTTTATTTTCTGACGCTTACATACTTTGGATCAAAGTTAATTTACCATTTCATGTTCGTGAAAGGTATAAAAATCGAGTTAATTGTCCGTCTGTCTGTCTGTCTGTCTGATCTGTCTAAATGGATGAATGAATCAACAACTGAATGGGTCAATAGGCGAA